TTCTTTCCTAACCATGCAATTGCAGCTTCAGCTTTAGTGTTCTGCCTTCTTCCCAGGTGGGATCTCTGAGTGTGAAATGCCTCAGTACGCCGTGTCACACCTCGGGACACATCTGTTATTATGTGACTAAGCCAAATAGCTCCGAGCCACCTGCAGTTTTTACAGGTGAGGACTTGGGAGGTCCCCTGGCTAAAATAGAAGCTCCCCCTCTGCCTGGGTGCCTCTGGCTCTGGACGTGCATCCCTCCCTTCCTGCCAGGGCAGCTGCTTAGCAGCCACATGTTGCTCCCTTTCCAAGCAGGAGCTGTAGGTGGAGCTGGGGAAGCCCCTCTGGGTTTGTGAAGCCAGGGCTGCACTCCCTGCAGCAACACCGAGCCCTGCAGTCCTACACCCAGCATTTTCTTTTTTTTCCTGGATAAAAGAGCTGTGCTTTCCTGTCTCAGGCCAAATGGCTGATCCCAAACCCTGTTGCTTTTCCATATATCTGTGCTCACATCTGACAGCAGAGAGAGGAGAGAGCAGGGGAGTCAGAGAGGGCTGGTGCTCTGCTGTGGGTAGCCAGGGTTTGGGAAGAAGGATTCCCCTTCCCTGGGGCTGTGCTTCATCCCAGAGCTCACAGAAGCTCCTGCATGGAAGAGAAAGAGGCTTCAACAAGATTTTAGGGAGAAAATAGAGGCAACTCATCTTTGTTCAGTTCCACAGCAAAGCACAAGTGTTCCTTGTCCCCTGTAGGAGGGACAGCAGGGGACAGGGGCTGGCCTCAGGCAGGAGGTGCCTCAGCAGCCACGTTTGCCACAGCCTGGGTGTCCCCATGCTCCTGCTGCTGTGCTGGGGCAGCAGTGGCAGGGCTGAGCCCCCAGGCTGGCTGTGGGCACAGCCTGCTGTGGGTCTGACAGCGTGTCACCCCTGCAGGTGACACTGTGGGCAGCCTGCTGTGGGCCTGACAGCGTGTCACCCCTGCAGGTGACACTGTGGGCACAGCCTGCTGTGGGCCTGATGGCATGTCACCCCTGCAGGTGACACCCTGTTCGTGGCTGGCTGTGGGAAGTTCTTCGAGGGCACCCCGGAGGAGATGTACAAGGCACTGATTGAGATTTTGGGCAGCCTGGACCCCAAAACGGTACAAAGCTCTCCTTTTATTATTCTGAAAGAATAATAAAATATTGGAATTGTCTTCCTAGGGAGGTGGTGGAATCACCATCTCTGGATGTGTGTAAAAAAAGACTGGACTTGGCACTTGGTGCTGCAGTCTAGTTGTGGTGTCAGGGCATGGGTTGGACTTGATGATCTTGGAGGTCTCTTCCAACCTCATTATTTTGTGATTCTGTGATTTTGTGTGAGTGACCAGCCCAAACCAGCACACAGTGCAGGAAATGCCCTGAGAGCGCTGCTGTTCAGAGAGGCTCTCTGTGTGTGCAGGGAATGAATGCTTGCAGCAATTCTGCATGGCTGCAGTGCTCTGGAAGGGATTTGCCTGGCCCAGATGTGTTTGTGCTTTGTGGGGAAGGAGCAGAGGTTGGTTATTAAAGGCTGCTGAGCTGGGACATGGGGCTCTGTCATCTGTTCAACTGGCAGCTTGTCCTGCCTGCTGTGTCCTGGCTCTTGTGCCTGTCTCCAGCGAGGGCTGTTGGGTTGTGTGTGTTGTTCCTGCTGTGCTGGTGGCACCTGGCAGTCCCCCTCAGTGCCTTCGGTGTCCCCAGTGTCGCTGTCCCTTTCTCTTCCCAGAGGGTTTACTGTGGCCACGAGTACACCATCAACAACCTCAAGTTTGCTCGGCACGTGGAGCCCGGGAACCCAAACATCCAGGAGAAGCTGGCCTGGGCCAAGGTGAGTGCTCCTCCTTTCCCTGCACACAGAGCCCTGCTGAGGAGCTGCAGGAGAGGGGACAGCGCTAGGGAGAAGCAGAGGGAGCTGAGGAGGAGCAGGGTTTGGCTGTGCCCAGGGTTTGCAGGCTGGGGGAGGAGGAGGAGGAGTTCCCTGCCGTGCTCCGTGCAGGACACTCCTGCTGCCCAGGATTGCTGCCAGAGCTGTGTCAGAATCTGAGGTACTGATGATCCCAAAATTGTAGAAAGTCTCTGTCTGTCAGCCCCGCTGCCAAAGCAGAAGCCATAATTGGTCTGTGCTGGTTTCAAGGCTGTTTATTCTGTTTATCTCTAACATGTTCTGCTGCCCTGCCGCAGCTCTGTCCTGCAGGGCAGCGTGTGGGGCTCTGCCCTCAGTGGGATGGTACAAACATTAAATACCAGAAACTACCTGTGCTGGATTTACAATAACGTGCCAATATCTGTCACCTACGTTGGACAGTGTGTCCCCAGCCTGAACCAACAGAAAAATGCCAACACTGCAGTGAAACATGGAGGGCATGAAGAAGGAGAAAAAGGACAAGGCACACCCAATTTCCTCCATCTTGTCCCCTTTGGACCCCTCATCTCGAATCCTAAAATTTTACTTTTGCACCCGTGCCACACTTAATTATTACTTATATCAAACACTCAGAGCTTGTAATTCACCCTGTAAGATTGAAAACTCTTTTCCATGGACAGAGATCACAGCCAGTGTCTCTGGGGGCTCTGTCCAGGGGGGTTCCTGACCCCTGCCAGGGTCCCAGGGCAGCCAGAGGGAATTCCTGGATTCCCACAGAGCTGCAGCGTGTCCCTCCCTGCAGGCCCGCTACGACAGTGGAGAGCCCACCATCCCCTCCACCCTCGCTGAGGAGTTCACCTACAACCCCTTCATGCGGGTCAGGTAGGGAGCCTCTGCTGCTGGGGGGCTCTGGGGAGGGGGGGCTGGCCCGGGGCCTCCCACATTCCCGTCTGGATGCCTCCAAGGCTCTCCCTGGCAGCAGGCTCCTGATTTGGGGTTGTGCTGAGCATCCCTGACTCAGCAGACAGAGCAGGCTTCGTCGTGTCCTGTTCATCCAGCAGATGAAGGCTGCTGGGGCACAAAAATACCATTTCTTCTGAGCCTTCCAGCCAGCCTTGGGCCCTGCCCCTGGTGCCTCCAGAGCTGGGGCTCCATCCTGAGCCTGCTCTTCTCTCCTGGCAGGGAGAAGTCGGTCCAGGACCACGCCGGGGAGAGCGACCCTGTGCGGGCCATGGGGGCCATCAGGAAGGAGAAGGACAACTTCCGAGTGCCCAAGGACTGAGCCCTGCCTGCATCGCTTCAGTCCTCACTTTAATGTCACTTCAAGTGTCACTTTGACCATTCAGATGTTTTAGCAGTCAAATCTGTCGTGGTTGAGAAAAGTTTTATTTAGGGTTTTTTTGTTTTGTTTTAATTAATGAGAAAAAAAAGCACTTTGCCCTTGTTGAGATGTTCTACAGCATATTTATATTATGATGAAGAATATTTATCCTCCTCTTGCTGTTAAGCTGTCGTTTGTCACCTGCAGATTATTGTGTGAGTGTTGGGCAGGATCAAACCCAGAGGTTTAGGAAGAAGCTCCTGTGGTTTCTCTGGGAGGCTGCTGTGCTTGCAGAAGGTGGGACTGAGGTGTCTGTGTGTGAAGGTGGGACTGAGATGTCTTTGCATGAAGCAGAGACCAAACACAGGAGCTGAAATGTCAGTGTTTCCTCTATGCTGCTCCTTCAGCATTCTGGGTGTCCTCCTGGCTCCACAAAACCAGTTCCAGGGACAGACCTGCTGTGCCAGTGCTGTCTCAGGGTGTCCCCTGGGAGCTCCAGGGGCTGGCCTGGCTCTGGGGGTGGCTCTGGCTGCTCTCTTGTCCCTGGCATTGCTGTGTTACACCCTCTGAGTATTGCATGGACCCGCTCCCTGCTGTCCCCTGTGCCTGTGTGACCTGTGCCAGCCCACAAACCAGCCTGGCTCAGCGTGCAGGACCAGCTGCTCCTGGTGAGCGATGTCCCCTGAGCTGTGGTGACACCCCTGCAGCAGGCTGGCAGTGACACAACAGCAGTTGTCACCTGTCCCCAGGTGAGCAGGGATGTGGGCTGGCACCAGGTCTCCGTTTGCTTTAAAATGCTGGATTTTATGTAGTGTGGCAGCCAAAGCTGTGGTGTCCCCTGGAACGCTGTGCTGCCACCCCAGTGTGGCTGTCCTGGTGGGGGTGGCTGCCCTGAGGGGAAATAAAGAAGCAGAGCTCGTTAACTCGCAGCTTTGTTCATTTCTTGCCTTTGGGCTAAAAATTGAAGTCATCCAACTTGGGAGTGTCCTTCCACCTAATCCTGGGGTGAGAGGGTGGCACTGTGGGGAGCCCGGGGTATTTTTGTATTTTTGTGAAAGGGGAACAAAGAAGGTTCAGCCCTGGTTTTGCTGCCTGTGAGTGCCAGTCCCTCCTCACAAGTGGCATTTGGGCCCCCTCAGGACAAGAGGGACATGGAGGGGCTGGAGCGTGTCCAGGTAAGGGAGCAGAGCTGGGGAGGGGCTGGGGAATTCCTGATGGAGATGGGAAAGGGCTGGAGAGTTCCTGAGGGAAATGGGAAGGGGCTGGAGAATGCCTGAGGGAGATGGGAAGGTGCTGATCCTGGAGAAAAGGGGGGGGGCAGGGCTGGGGGGTTCCTCTGATTTTGGGGACAGGGTTAGGGGGTTCCTCTGATTTTGGGGACAGGGCTGGGGGGGGTTCCCCTGATTCTGGGGACAGGGCTTGGGGGGTTCCCCTGATTTTGGGAGCAGGGTTGGGGGGGTTCCCCTGATTTTGGGGACAGGGCTGGGGGGGTTCCCCTGTTTTTGGGGGCAGGGCTGGGGGGTTCCCGTGATTTTGGGGGCAGGGCTGGGGGGGTTCCCCTGATTTTGGGGGCAGGGCTGGGTGGGGTTCCCCTGATTTTGGGGACAGGGTTGGGGGGTTCCCCTGTTTTTGGGAGCACGGCTGGGGGGTTCCTCTGATTTTGGGGACAGGGCTGGGGGGCTTGGGTTCCCGTGATTTGGGGGGTTCCCCTCCTTCCTCCATCCCGGGGGGAGGGGGTCAGGCTGCGCTGCGGGACCCCAGGGTGGCCCAGGGGCTGTCCCTGTCCCCGCGGCCGCGCCGTGCCCGCCCCACGCTGCGTGACCCGCCCCGCACACGGCGGGGACCGCCCCGGGGGTGGCGCTGGGGACACGCCGGGGTCCCGCAGCCCCTCCGCGGGTCCCCGGGGCCATGAAGGTGAAGGTGATCTCCGTGCTGGAGGACAACTACGTGTACCTGGTGATCGAGGAGAGCAGCCGCAACGCCGTGGCCGTGGACGCCGCGGTGCCCCGGAGGGTGAGCGGGTCCCGGGGGGGTGCGGGAGGCGGCGGCGGCACCGCGGCGCTCGTGGGGCACCCCACGGGCACGACAGAGCCTCCAGCCCCGCGGGTGGGCGGCGAGACCCCCCTGCCCGGTGTCCCCGGTGTCCCCGGTGCCACCCCTGAGCTGTACCCGGTGTCCCTGGTGCCACCCCCAGCACTGTGCCTGTTGTCCCCAGTGCCACCCCTGAGCTGTGCCCGGTGTCCCCAGTGCCACCCCCAGCACTGTGCCCGTTGTCCCCAGTGCCACCCCTGAGCTGTGCCCGGTGTCCCCAGTGCCACCCCCAGCACTGTGCCCGTTGTCCCCAGTGCCACCCCTGAGCTGTGCCCAGTGTCCCCAGTGCCACCCTTAAGCTGTGCCTGGTGTCCCCAGTGCCACCCTTAAGCTGTGCCTGGTGTCCCCAGTGCCACCCCTGAGCTGTGCCCGGTGTCCCCGGTGCCACCCCCCAGCTGTGCCCGGTGTCCCCAGTGCCACCCCTGAGCTGTGCCCGGTGTCCCCAGTGCCACCCCCAGCACTGTGCCCGTTGTCCCCAGTGCCACCCCTGAGCTGTGCCCGGTGTCCCCAGTGCCACCCCTGAGCTGTGCCCGGTGTCCCCAGTGCCACCCCTGAGCCCTTTCGTGGCTTTTCAGCCTTTGCTGCTGCCTGGGGCATTTCCTTCCTCTCGAGCCGGGGCTTGCTCCCGGCCCTGGGTGCTCCATTGGCATCCGAAGCCTCCTGGCAGCCGTGCCAGGGCTGGCAGTGCCCTGTGGCCAGTGTGGTGGCACCGTGCCCTCCTTTGTGCCCTCCCTGAGAAAGCCAAAAATGCCCCCGTGGCCACAGAGCCAGCGCGGTCCCGTCCCCCTGCCGCGCTCGGGGTGTCCCCTCTGTGCCACCCTCAGCCTGTGGCACCTCAGGGGATGCTTTTGGGGGGCTCCCCTGCCCGGGGGCACGGGGGACAGGGCACGGTGTGGCTGTATGCCACCTCCTCTGCCCGCCCAGTGCCACTCCGGTCCCTTTCAGCTGCTGGAGATCGTCAGGAAGGAGGACGTGGTGCTCAAGGCCATCCTCACCACCCACCACCACTGGTAGGTGAGGCTGGCTGGGGGTGGCCGTGTCCCCACGGGGACGGTGCCAGTCCCAGTGCCAGTCCCAGTGCCAGTGGCAGTGCCCGCTCTGCCCGCAGGGACCACGCCAGGGGCAATGAGGAGCTGGCGCAGCTCCTGCCAGGCCTGCAGGTGTTCGGGGCTGACGAGCGCGTCGGGGCCCTCACCCACAGGGTCAGCCACGGCCAGGAGCTGGCGGTGCGTGCCGGGGACAGCGGGGGACAGAGGGGACAGCGGGGGACAGAGGGGACAGTGGGGACAGAACTCACACACGGCTCCTCCTGATGGCTGCGGTGGGGCTGGGGTCCCCACTGGGCTGGCCAGTGGGGAGTGCATGGGGTGGTCACATTGTCCCCAGTGGGGTGGTCACACTGTCCCCAGTGGGTGGTCACACTGTCCCCAGTGGGGTGGTCATTCTGTCCCCAGTGGCACTGTGGCCACCAGAGGAGTGGCCAGTGCGGTGGTCACACTGTACTCTTGGGGTGGCCAGTGGGGAGTGGAGTGGGGTGGTCACACTGTCCCTAGAGGAGTGGCCAATGGGGTGGTCACGCTGTCCCCAGAGGGGTGGTCACGCTGTCCCCAGAGGGGTGGTCACACTGTCCCCAGTGGGGTGGTCACGCTGTGCTCAGTGTGGTGGTCACACTGCCCAGTGGTGTGGTCACACTGTCCCCAGTGGGGTGGTCACACTGTCCCTAGTGGGGTGGTCATGCTGTGCTCAGTGGGGTGGTCACACTGTCCAGTGGTGTGGTCACACTGTCCCCAGTGGGTGGTCACGCTGTGCTCAGTGTGGTGGCCATGCTGTCCCCAGAGGGGTGGTCACACTGTCCCCAGTGGTCGCCAGTGGTCCCCAGTGGTCCCGGTGCTGCTGGGCCGTGCTCAGCTCTCGATGTCCTGGGGTGGGGACATATGTGGCCCCGCGGATTCAAGGCTGGGATGGAGCAGGAGCCTCATCCCAATCCCGGCCTGTTCGGGGTTCTGCTGGAGGCTCCCACCCCCTCATGGAGCCCCAAAGGCCATTGGGGCAGACCCGCTGTGCCCTCCCCAAACCCTGTCAGCTCTGTGACCTGCTGGGGCCCAGGCAGGCGTGGGGACGTCTGGGGGGTGCATTTGTCCCCCTCAGTGGAACCCTGACCCTGTGTCCCCCAGTTTGGGTCCATCAGGGTGAGGTGTCTCTTCACCCCGTGCCACACCTCGGGCCACATGTGCTACTTCATGTGGGAGGACGATTCCCCGGATGCTCCAGCCCTTTTCTCAGGTACGTGGCCCTGGTGGCTTTTGGGGACACGCTGCCTGTGTGTTGCCTGTCCCCCCACTCAGGGGGGTGACCCTGCACCCCTCTGCCCGGCTCTGGGGTCCCTCGGTGCCCACCGCTGTCCCACAGGTGACACGCTGTTCGTGGGGGGCTGCGGGCAGTTCTTCGAGGGCACGGCGGAGCAGATGCTCACCAACCTCACCCAGATCCTGGGGGCTCTGCCCAGGGACACGGTGAGGGTCCTGTCCCCACCCGGGGGGCTCGGGGCAGGAACCCCGGGCTGGAATCGGCCCTGGGGGCGGCTCTGACGCCGCTGTCTCCTGCAGAAGGTTTTCTGTGGCCACGAATGCACCGTCAGAAACCTGAAATTCGCCTTGAAGGTGGAGCCAGAGAATGAAAAGGTGAAGGAGAAGCTGGCGTGGGCCAAAGTAAGTGGCGGTGCCCCCTGTGCCAGGGTGGGGCTGGGCTGTGGGGTGGCAGCAGGATTTGGATGACACTGTTGAGGCAGGGATGGGCCAAATGATTCACACGATTTCAGAAGGCAAAATGAGCGTTTATCCAAAAGCACTTCTGTCTTTTATAGAGAACATCGTGAACATTCATTCCATTGGTCTTAAAGTAAAACCATTTCACCTGATTAGTGCAATGGACTTAGGGCAGTGTGGTAGAATACATCTATAAACAATATGAATGGAAAGATAATAATTGTTTACATTCCTCTGGGACTTTCCCCCAGCCTTAGCCTGGCAGAAATCTTTCTCCCTTTCTCTCTGCCTCAACTGAGCATATCCACACTTGGACACCTCTGTTCCCCCGGCAGCAGCGGGATGACGAGGACCTGCCCACGGTGCCCTCCACGCTGGAGGAGGAGTTCCTCTACAACCCCTTCCTGCGGGTCACGTAAGCACTGCTGCCCTCCTGCCCCAAACCCGCTCCTCTCCCTGTCCTGTATCACCCCCGTTCCCAAAAACCTGCTGGGACATCCCAGGGGGACGCTGCCCGGGCAGGGGGTCACTGCAGAGGCACCGTGATGGTGTGGGACCAACGCTGTGATGGTGTGGGACCAGCCCAGGGTGGGACCAGCACTGTGATGGTGTGGGACCAACACTGTGATGGTGTGGGACCAACACCATGATGGTGTGGGACCAGCCCAGGGTGGGACCAGCCCAGGGTGGGACCAGCACCGTGATGGTGTGGGACCAGCCCAGCGTGGCAGTGTGCAGCGGGCTGGGGTCCCCTCCTGTCCCCAGGGCTCAGCAGGGTTGTCCCCCTGCAGGGAGGAGGCCGTGCAGAGGTTCACGGGCAGGACGGAGCCCGTGGAGGTGCTGCGGGCGCTGCGCTCCCAGAGGGACAACTTCAAGAAGCCCAAGGAGAGGCTCAACCCCCAGGCCGTGCTGGCCTTCGACTGGGGGCTCTTCGAGCCCTTCCTGGAGAAGAAGTGACACCCCCGTGGTGCCAGAGCTCCCTCCTGGCTGTGCCCAGCTGGGTTTTGTCTTTAAGCTGCTGTTGTGAGGCTGCTCTGCTCTGCTCTGCTCCCCTCTGGCTCCTGGGATTGCCCGTGGAGCTCCTGGGACCCTCTGGAGAGCCCAGGCTGTGGGACCCCCCCTTGGGATGCTGCAGAGGGTCAGGACGGGGCAGGGGACAGTCCCGGGTTTGGGCTCAGGGATTGTGGTGCTGTGCCCCACGGAGTGCCAGCCTGCCCTGCATCCCAGTCCCAGGGCTTGTGCTGGTGGCTTTGGGACTCCTGGGAACCCTCCTGGCCCTGCTCCAGCCCCCCTCAGCCCCCCTGTCCTGGCTGATGGACACTTGGACCCCCTCCATGGGAAACTGGGAAGTGACTGGTGACACTGGTGGCACTGGTGGCACCAGTACCCACCCGACTCCAGCTCTGTGCTGACGAACCCCTCATCACAGCAGGGCTTGGCTGGGTTCCCCCCTCTTTTTTCCCTATTTTCCAGTAGGTCCCACAGTGATTTCTGTAGGGATTTGTGGCCCAGGTGCTGCCCTGGGGAGCCCTTGGCCAGGGTTTGCCCCAGGAGGGATTTCCCAGGGTGGGACAGAGTTTGGGCAGCCAAGAACAAAGTGCTGCCAGGCATCCCTTTCTGCTTTTTGCTTTTCCCAAGGTAAAACACTCAGTGCCAACTCTGTGGACATTTCCTTGAGCAGAGCCAGGGAGCAGCTGGGGCTCCCAGGCCTCCCCAGCCTTCACTTTGTGCAAAATCAGGGCTGTGCTTTTTTATTTTTGAGTCTGAGAAAGGAGCAGAGTTTTGTTTGCAGGTGTGGGGAGGCACTTCACACCAGTGAAGTCATTCCCTGGTTGTTTTTTTTTTTTTTGTGGACAAAATGAGGGTTTGATCACTGGGACAGAGTTGATTTCAGGGATTTTCATGTGTGGACTGTGAATTTCTTTGTTGCCACTGGAGTCTGGTTTGGGGCTTTTTCCTGTGCTACAAACCAAGGTTTTCTTTTTTTTTTTTTTTCCTTTTATTAAGTTATAGTTTGGATTTACTTTGCATGGAAGGGGAAGGATTTATCCACGGCCTGAATTCCTCAGTTTCCATGAAATGCTGGAGTTGTGGGTGTCCCCTTTGGAATTTTATTTATCCTGGGAGCAGGGATGCCCCTGTGTGTCTGAACCAGCCCCGAGCCTGCCCCACACCTCAAAGCTGGGACAAATTCCAGCTCTGATTATTTCATTTCCAGCCAATTCAGCTTCACTGATTTGTGCATTTCTGGGCTGACTCTGCACAGAGTCCAGCCTGGAGCCTCTCCCTGGCCCTTTCCTGGTTTAATCCAATCCCTGCATGGAAAAGGGAATTCACTGGAAGCACCAAATTGCTCCTCAGGAAGGAGGGGAAGGGGCAGCAGGGGGAGGTTGATGCCTGAACACTGTGAGGTCATTAATGGTCAGCAACAGCTGAAAAATGGAAAGCTTTTAATTAAAAAGCATGAAAATCACCATTTGCTCTGTGGATTCATTGGAACAAAGTGCAGAGGAGGCTTTGGTTGCTGCCAGCCCCAAGGCCAGGAATTATTTTGTGGCAATTTTGGGGTGTTATCCAGCAGTAAATGCAGTAATTTTGTCTGGATTTAGGGATTTTATCTCAGTAAGTGGCTGTAAGTGTGACAATTCTGTGACTCCCTGCTGAGGGTTTAGGAAGAAAACACAGAGAAGTAACTGCCCTTGGTATAAATTATAATAATTTAAGGAAAAGGAATCACAGTTTTTTTTCCAGCATTCTCTCCAGTCCCTCTGCAGCCTCAGGGGTGATGCCAGAATTTGGATCCCCTCTCTGAGGGCACAGACCCTGCAGGGCAGTGAGAGGGGAGAACTCCAGGCCTCGTGAGACCATTTCTGACCAAATGAGGCTGTTCCAGCAGAGGCAGGCACAGAAAGGAGTGCTGTGACAATCCAGCAAGGCCTGGGGGAGGAATATTGGGGTGTGGCACAAAGCTCAGCCTGGAGCTGAGCTCTGAATCCTCCAGCCCTCAGCTGTGGCAGGAATGGGGCTGCTGGAGCAGTGCAGGGCTGTCCCATCAGCCTGGGACGTGTTTCTGCCTCTCCTGCTGCGTCCCTGCCAGACTTTGGGTTTATTCCCATCACCTCATCCTCCAGCTGGAGGAAGGAGCAGTGCCAGGCACCTTGCCAGAGGCAGGAATTGCAGGGAATCCTTGCAGGATGTGAGTTAGAAGGCACTGAGGGTCTCACCACTTGATGCTGAGGGCAGAGCTGGCTCTCTCCACGGCGTGGTACTGTGTGTGCAGCACCTGCAGAGCCCTGTCCGAGCCCCAGCCCCCCAGCCAGTGCTCGTAGAGCTCCCTCACAGCCTGGTTTTCCTCTGGAATCTCAGCCCTCAGGGATTCATACAACCTCTCCACCTGCTGCAGCTCCTCCTTGCTGGATTCCCCCTCCAGTTTGATCTGCCCTCCTCCATTCAGACAGCCTGAGGGGGAAAAAAAAAATAAAGGATGAAGAAGTTCAGCTGGGAAAACATCCTCAGAAATTCCTGCCCATTGGTCCTGCTCCTGCAAAGAGCTGCAGGAATGAAAACATCCCAGAGATGGAGGTTCACTCCCAGTTATCTGCCAGCAGCAGGGCACAGGGCAGGGAGATGCTGGGCTGGCTCCAGCTCTTATCTCCTGCCCCCAGAACAGAACCAGAGCCCAGCCCAGGTCAGCCCAGCCCTGCAGGCCCAGCTGGAGGAAAGGGAAAAGTGCCTGGGATGTGTTCTGGGAGCTGCCAGAGCTCTGTGATCCTTGGGAAGGAGCAGCTCCCTCAGGCTGCCCCTGCTCTCTGCCCCTGCTTCCTCTTCTTTTCCAGGAAGAGGAAAATGGAACCAGATTTTAAGGAAGTGACTTTCTCCAGGCACAGCAGCATTTTCTCTAAGTGTGATAGTCAGGTTTGGGCAATTTCAGGGGGAAAATCCCCTCAGGTACCAGAGCTCAGGAAATCCTCCTTAAAAACAATTAATTAATTAATAAATTAATGATGCAAATGTTCTATGATGGAATTCAGCCGCAGTTCTTTAAATCCTGAGGAATTACTGGCTCAGAGGTAGGACAATCCCCACACAGCTGTGATGGTGTGGCTGTCACAGCCCAAGTGGGGGAGAAATCTCCCATTTCTCCTGTCTGGATTGGAGAGCAGCCTCACCTGAGGGACAGGCCATCACCTCCACGTAGTGATAGGGACACTTCCCTCGCTTCAGCTTCTGCACCAGGTTCTGGATGTTCCTGAATCCATAAGCCAGGGCAAACTGGAGCAGGACCTCTCCATCCCTCTCCAGGGTCACCTCCTGGAAGTCCTTGTTCCTGAGGGAGCAGAGCACAGCAAGTGGCTTCTCCAAACGAGTTTCTGTTTTAAACTTCAAAACCCAAACTCTCTGTGAGTCTCGCTGAAGCTGTCCTAGTTCTGTGCCTTCCACGGAAAACAGGAAGGAATTCCTTCCAGAACCTTCCAGGATTGCTGGAGCCACCTGAGCAGAGTTTGCTGAAGGACATCAGTGCTGGATAAAGCCTGAAAAGCTCAGCACAGGGAGCTTTCCCTCACAGACCTGACTTCCTTCGGCCCCTGAGGGGATTTTTGACTTCTGCTGGGTCATCAAACACGGGAACAAACCCTGATTGAGGATTCCAGATTTCTAAGGTTACTGGGGATACCTGGTTCTGATAAAAAAAAAGTAAGTAATTTGATTTTTATCAAGATTTTGAGACAGTTTTTTCTGCTTCTTAAACCAGAGAATCCTAAACATAAAAACTGCTCATTAGGGATATAATTCATTCTAAAGGATACATTAAATTAGAACTGGGAAGCCAGAAGGAATCTCAGGTGGATGAGCCTCAATGCCCAAACTCAGGTGATTTATTTTCTGTTTCACTCCAGTTAAACAGCCCCAAAACCCTCCCACAAGGTTTTTTGGGATCAGTAACCAGTGACAAATCTCCCTGATCTGAGCTGAGGAATCCCAGCTCCACGAGAGCTCTGCCTTCTCAATTACCCTAAAATTGTATAATTATTCTAAAAGTTATCAGTGGGAGAATCCACCAGGCCAAACTCCAGGGTGTGGCGGGGGAAGGGGCTGGAATTTTCCCTGGAATTGTCCCTGGAATTCTCCCTGCCTGCATGGAATTGGCTGATTTATTGCTGAGCAGCTGGGGGAGAGAGCAGCGAATTCTCAGCCTGGGAGTGAAGTTTAACATTGCAAAAAAAAAAAACCCCAAAAACAAAACAACAACAAACCAAATAATTTCAACCCCTCAACAAGGAGAAGAATTCCTGGGAAAAGCCTGAGTTTCCTGTGGGATTTCAAGCTCCTTACTTGAGAGAGAAGCAGAAATTCTCCCTGCCTGCATGGAATTGGCTGATTTATTGCTGAGCAGCTGGGGGAGAGAGCAACCAATTCTCAGATTGAAGTTTGACGTTGCAAAAAAAACCCCAAAACAACAACAACAACAAACCAAATAATTTCAACCCCTCAACAAGGAGAATAATTCCTGGGAAATTCCTGTGGGATTTCAGGCTCCTTACCTGAGAGGTTTGTAGTGGATGGAGGCCACGTGGACGCCGAAGAGCTCGCGGGCTGCGTGTCTGAAGATGTGCTCCAGGTACCCCCCTGAGCCACCTCCTCTGTGACTGCTCAGCTCCTCTGCAGCCCTGCCCAGCCTGGGGGAAACAGCAGCAGCAGCTTCAGCCTTGAGGGGGTCACACAAAGCTCCAGGGGTGCCCCAAACTGCAGCTTTGCCCACTGATGGCCCCTGTGGAGCCCTGGAAGTGGCCCAGGTCAGGCTGGAAGGGGCTTGGAGCAGCCTGGGACGCTGCAAAGTGTTGGGGTTGGATGATTTTTAAGTCCTTCCCACCCAAAGCATTCCATGATTGTCTAATTAATCCTCATGGATTGATGAATAGTTCAGGGAGGTGCTGCTGAGCCTCTCTGCAGCTCTGGGTGCTCAGTGCACAGCCAGCCCTGCTGTCACCTCAGAGCCCCAAAATGTGCTCCCACCCCACCCCTGACACCTCCCAAATGGCATTTTTCACCAAGATTAACTGGGTGACCTGAATATTTGTCATTTCTGCTTTGATTC